TCTTGTAACTTCTTCTAGAATGTCGATGTAAATCTGCTATCTCTGTCAAAGACTATGGAATGTGGGACTCCATGTAGTCTCAATATCTCTTGTATGTATATCTCTGCTAGCTTATCAACCATATAAGTTGTTCTCACTGGTAGGAATTGAGCCAATTTGGTCATTCACGGTTCTCGGCAATCCTGAAACAAAATCGATGGCAATTTGTTCCCACTTCCATTCTGGAATCTCCAGTAGTTGTGTTAGCATTTATGCCCTTAGGAATAAATGTAACAATATTCTTTGAGACATTTTGACTATTAATAAAGATTTGTTTATTTCATATATCTATGTATTGTCCTCTTTATGTTCATAATAGTTAAATGTATGAGAAGCAAACTGAAAGTCTGAGACTGTCATTCTAAATCTTTAGGTCATGCATGTAATGTGAAGAACATGCGGAAGACAAGAATCTAAAGATGATAGTCTAAATCTTAGGATCCACAATCGAGAGAATAAAGTTGGGCACTTTATTCATGTTAAGATTGTTATGTTGTCTACTTCCTAACGGAGACGGCTTGTCTTGGTCGTCGGAGGTGGGACTCCATGGGTGGAGACATTGATATAGTTTCTAATGGTGAAATCTATATTGGATCGGACCAAAGTTAAATTGTTTTAATTAATAATTCTGTTTGAATAAAATAATTACTTTTGACGAATTATATGTTGTCATCTTAATCCTGAGATGGATGATGAACCCGTATGCTTGATTTGTATCCTTTGATGTACTAAAGGGAGACATCCTGACATTATGTAAAGGTACGCTTGCCGGTACATTGGGGGTATGACTCATGTATGCATAGATTCGTTATTCATAGATAGTGGTATCCATAGCTCCTATAAAGAGTCAATGATATCCTCTTATGCATTATCAATGGATTGGAAAATACGAGCGCTCGGCCATTAGACTACTCTGTCTTATCTAATGGTTTACTATTTGTAATGGTACGAACAGTATTTTTCTGATGCTATGATAATGGAACAGAAGATAAATGTAATCGGGAAGGTAAAATGGAACTTGACCTCGAGTCGATTATGGGTATCCTATGGGGATGATACACTAATATATTGAGTCATGGACTAGAGCTAATCAGAGCTTTGTAAATACGCTATATAAATCGAGAGTGCAGCTCTAGGCTTTTAGTGGAATAGCGCTAGAGTTTTATAATCATGAGACGGACTTGTTGGTTTACAAGTAGCATTGTGATTATAGGAGCTTGATTTATATATGTCCATCGGGTCCCTTTGCTAGCTCACATAATTTCCTGTAACGATACGGCGTATTTCCTACACATTGGTAACTTGTGTTATTTCCATAAAAGAGGTTCAAAGTTAATTCATGAATGATTTATTGGGTGAATTAATTGATAAATTAATTCTAGATAAATTGGTTGAATTATTGTTTTAAGAGTTGTTTAATATGGGAAGACTATTATATGACTGTTTTGATCAGGTAATTTCTCTATTGGGTTGCTTGAATCAAAACTGAGGCTCTATGCAAGTTTTCCGTGTTGAAAAACTAGGAAAACAACTTTCGTCAATGCAGACAGGTCGACCGGTTAGTGAAGACAGGTCGACCGGTGAGTTATAACGTCTCTGTCACCGGTCGACTGGTTGTAACGTAAAATGCATGCTGACGTGGCAAAATTGACTCTGGATGCGATTAGAACTTTGAAAAACCTAATTATTACGGGAGTATGACTTTCTAAACACTATAAATAGCCTATTAAGTCACATTACTCATAAGATCACTTGAGAGACTTTTTGGAGGCTATTGAAAAAGATTCCTGAGAGGAAAAATTGTTTAATTCTCAAGAACAATTTTTTCTTTGGCTCTCTTGTGATTGGAAGGAGATCAAGAATACCAAGAAGAGATTGAACGATGTGTGCCCACCCGCACTCCGATCGTGGAAACAAGAATAGCAAAGAAGACCAGTTGGTTGAGGCTCTTTCGGTTGCTGTTAGGAACGCTTTCATCTGTCAAACGTGTAGTTTTCTAAATCTCAAAAGGTATGATTTAGATCTTTAGTATTTATGTTATATAGCATCATGAACATGTTCTTGGTTGGCTTTGACGTTGATTAAATTTTTAAAATTCTGCTGCGCACTCAATGCCATTATTTTCCAACAGTTGTAGTAATCCACCGAGTTTTTGGTGCTCAGCTTTCACTTGTTGGTAAGTTAAATATTTAGCAACATACTCCACTACATCCTTCTTCATTCCAGGCCACCAAAAATAACTCCTCAGATCTTGATACATTTTTGTTGTACCAGGATGCATCGAATACAGCGTATTATGAACTTCATACAAAATTTGTCGTTTAATTTCTTCATCATCAGGAACACACAATTGACCTTTAAATTCGAACACACCATCTTTTGAGATTTGAAAATTTGGACGCCTATCCTTTATGACTTCATGCTTCAACTGTTAAATTAGAGGGTCTAAATGTTGTTTACCCTTAATCTCTTCCATGATCATCGGTTGTAGAGATAGTGTAGATAACTATCCCACTACAAACTCTATCTCCAGTTTACTCAAATCGTTTCTCAACGGACCTGGTATTTGAGGTAAAGTAGCCAAACTGGCCACTCTCTTCCTACTTAAGGCATCAGCGACTTTATTCGCCTTACCTGGATGGTAATGGATATCACAATCATAATCATTTACAAATTCCAACCATCTTCGTTTACTCATGTTTAACTCCTTCTGTGTGAAGATATACTTCAGACTCTTATGGTCTGTGTAAATGTCACAGTGTACTCCATATAGATAGTGTCTCCATATCTTCAATGCAAACACTACAGCGACTAACTCAAGGTCATGCGTCGGATAATTCTTTTCAAAGTCTTTTAATTGCCGAGAAGCATAGGCAATTACCTTTCTATGTTGCATTAATATTGCTCCCAAACCTAGTCCAGAGGCATCACTATATATCACATATCCTTCACTACCCGAAGGAATAGCCAAAATTGGAGTTGAAGTTAATCGCTTCTTTAATTCTTGAAAGCATTCCTCGCATTTGTCTGTCCACTCAAACTTGATGTTCTTGCAAGTGAGTTGAGTCAAAGGTTGCATAACTCTTGAGAATCCTTTGACGAAGCGTCGGTAATACCCTGCTAATCTGAGTAAGCTACAAACTTCAGTAGCATTATTCGGCCTCTTCCATTGATTCACGGCTTCTACCTTAGATGGATCCACTAAAATTCCTTCCCTTGAGACCATATGTCCAAGAAATGACACTTTCTCCAACCAAAACTCACATTTCTTGAACTTGGCGTACAATTTCTTCTCTTGCAACCTTTGTAACACTAATCGCAGGTGTACCTTATGCTCTTGCTCCGTTCGCGAATACACTAGTATATCATCAATGAATACGATCATGAATTTATCAAGATATTCTTCAAATACTTGATTCATGAGATCCATGAACACTGCTGGGGTATTAGTCAATCCAAATGACATTACTAGAAACTTATACTGGCCATATCTAGCTCAGAATACTATCTTGGGAATGTCCTCTTCTCAAACTTTCAGCTGATGGTACCCCGATCTCAAATCAATCTTCGAGAAGACTGTTGCACCTTGGAGCTGATCAAACAAATCATCAATCATCGGCAGAGGATACTTGTTCTTTATGGTAACCTTATTTAGCTCTCGATAATCAATGTACATCCTCATCGTGCCATCCTTCTTCTTAACGAACAACACCGGTGCTCCCCAAGGTGAATAACTTGGCCTAATAAACTTTTTATCCAATAATTCTTACAATTGTGTCTTCAATTCCTTCAGTTTCGCTGGGCCCATACGATATGGAGCTTTAGAAATCGGTGCAATTCCAGGTAATAACTCAATCACAAACTCCAACTCTCGATCTGGTGGCAGACCAGGTAAATTCTCCAGAAAAACATTCAAGAAATCTGGAACCACTGGAACGTCTTTAGGCTCAAGCATTACTTTCCACGTCGTGTCTATAATATTAGCTATATATCCAACACAACCACTAGCTAGCATTTTATAAGCCTTCATAGCTGATATAATTGGCAATTTCTGTTTGCGGGAGATTCCACGAAACTCGAATGCTTCTCTCTCTCCAGAGGGCAAGAAGATCACTTTCTTCTTTTTACAGTCTATCACAACATTATACTATGCTAGCCAGTCCATCCCCAATATGACATCATAATCATACATCTCTAGTATGATTAGATTTACATACAATTCTCTACCAAAAATGACAATAGGCACTGCTCTAAGCCAAGATTGGAACTTCAAACTATCTCCTGAAGGTAAAAACACTCTACACACTTCCCCTAGCTCGTTTGGCATTCTCCCTAACTTTATAGCGAAGCTCACAACAATAAAAGAGTGAGAAGCACCTGAGTCTATTAATGCATATGTAGTAGTTTCAGCCATAGAGAGCTGACCTGAATAACTTCGAAAGGTCTAGCCTCCACTTCACCTTGAGTCAGGGTAAACACTTGAGCATTTGTCTTCTGTTGATTTCCACCACGTCCTCCTTGTTTTAGGTTGTCTAGGCAATCTCTAGCATAATGCCCAGGCTTTTCACAAGTATAACACCTAAAGTTCTTCGTCCAACATTCTCCACGATGTCGGCGCTGGCAGTTGTTGCAGTATGGCCACAACTCAAAGCCCCGTTGGCCCTGTTGTCTCCAGTCATCTCCTCGATTCAGCATGTTCTAATTTCCTTACCCGTCTCTACCTCGGTTGCTTCTTCCGCCTCGGTTATTATTTCTAAAGTACCTATTGCCTCGATTTCTAAAATTTTCCCGCTGGGGTCCTTGTCCTCCTCTGTTCCAAAATTCCCTCTTTGTTGAAAATTCCCTCGGCTGCTAAAATGAGACTGAGAATTAGAACCGGTGTCACCCTTGGTCCCTAAAAATTGAGCCTGTCTTTTTTCAACATTTTCCCACATTTCTTTCTGAATCGCTCGCTCAATAGCTTATGCATAGGTGCATGGCCCCATCTCACCAGCATCCACTAACTTTGCCAAATCTGACCTTAGACCTTTCATAAACCTCCTTTTTCTCTCATTTTCTGTTGCTACCAATCCGAGTGCAAATCTTGACAATTGATCGAACTTCTGCGCATATTCAATCACGGTAGAGTTCCCTTGCTTTAACTCTTGAAACTCATCCATTTCTGCATCCAGAATGTTAGCATTGTAGTATTTAGAGTTTAACAGCTCCAGAGATCCCGTCCAGGTTAGAGTATTCACATGCACGGTCCTCTTAACAATGTCCCACCAAATTCTTGCATTGTTCTTCATTTGATACACCGCACATGCCACTTTTTCCTTATCTATCAACTTCATGAAGTCAAAAATCTTCTCAAGACTACACCTCCATTCTTCAACAATTAATGGATCAGTGTCCCCCTCAAATGTCAGAGGTCGTTGCTTCCTAAATCGTTCATACACTGGCTCTCCCACTTGAGCCTCATTCTGATCCCGTGCCGATTGCAGTGGTAATGGCAGTTGTTGTTGTTGTGGCGGTGGATTCATATTAGCCTTAATTCGTTCCATGAAGGCATTAAGTCTCTTGTTTTGCTAGTGAATTTTCTCCACTTGTAGCCTTACTGCTTCCTGTAATCTTGCTATCTCATCCACTTGTGCCCTAGCAGGAGGCACTTAGGGAGCGTCATTTCTGAGTTCATTACCATCTCCCCGATGAGCTGGTTCTGATTGCTCTCATCAAGGAATGTTACGAGATCTTCCACATGCCATTTGTTTTAATGTACTAGTGTGTGTACGTTATTCCTACATGCACATCATTTATCAAGCATTCACTCTTAGTCAATAAATACTAAATACTCATTTCCTGATCAAAATAGTATTACTCAAAGTAACATTATTCCAAACATCCACGCAACACCTGAATCGAAGTTCAACACAGTACGTATTCATTATCCACAATTATTTACAATATATCACAAATTCCATCTCCAAATTCCTAGTTATTTAGTGTCACTATCGGTGAAACTTTCAAGCTTTCTTCTCTCCCCGAGAGAACCTCCAAAGTTTTGGCTAAATTGTCTTTCTATTGCAAACTGAAACCTATTCCATGTCATTTCTTTTGTTGTTCCATCTTGGGAAATCTCCCACCGAACGGTTGGGTATTCCCTTAAATACATAGTCACTATCCTTGCCCTAAACTTGTGGGGAATGTTGTGCACACGAAAAATTATGGGCATCCGAGTGGTCCAATTTTCCACTATTATAGTGTTCTCCTCATCCAAGAACATTGGAGGTTTCGCTGCCTCAACCACATTTCCGTAGTATGCCACTTCACTAGTTATTATTCGTGATCTACTAGTTACCTCGGTAACTATTTCTTTAACCTATGCACATTAGATTTTCATAAACCATATACTCATAAATGCAAAATTTACGAAATACACAACTTACAGTGAGCAGGCTCGCCGTCTTCGTGACTTGTACATATGGAGTTGTCTACAAAAATGACTAAACTCTAACTCTGATACCACAATTGTGACACCCTTTTTATACCATCTCTTTTCAAGTCTCTCTTACGATTAATCCTAAGGATGTGCCACAATGTCAATCCTTCACTTTTCACTTATGTGAAAGCTATGGTGTGTCAAAATTTTTGCTTAAATAAAATTTCGTTAATGCACCATTCCTATCAGGTTTCCTAGCCATAATTATAATTATATAGTCATCCAAGGTTTATGAGTTTAACTCCAAAATATATGTATTTACAAACCCAAAATAATACGCGTGCAGCTTCCTCGGTCCAATCATACGTACAACGGTCAACGAAGCCAGCTCTGCAACTTATTGTTCTGCTTTGTTCTTACCTTTACCTATAGCACAGACTAAACTTTAATGTACTACAGGCTCAGTAAGTAGAGCTACAATTACACAATCTTATTTTAACATACGCATGCATCACAACATCCTAGGTAACTTATGCTAATCAATTCTTACACTGTATGCACGTGCACTATATATCTCTAGGGCCCTCCCGGTACTGCAGCTGACTTTTTCACAATCTGACCACATGCCAATTTCTCAAATCACCATATCAGATTCCCCATCATCACCCACTTAGCTCAAGGGAACGACCAGTGCATTCAAATCACAATTTCTCAATATCACAATATAATCTCTGTCATCACCCACTTCACTCGAGAGACTTACGCGGCTCATTCACAATTTCATCAATCACCATATCCCAATAAGAGTCCTCTGAGGACTTGACAGTACCGGCCTATCATGCATGTTATTATGTGCTCAATCACAAGTAAGTTGAGAATCCACGTGATGCTCTGCTTTGTGTACAATATATTAACATAAGCATGCCTTCACAAAACATACACATTGACAATGTCACAAAAATTCACATAATAGCATACTTGATATTCCATAGAAAGTCTATCAAACAAAGTTTACAAGTGCTACAGAGAAGTCATACTCTACTTACCTGAGTTGCTTAGCAAAATCTGAATTTAACTCTCTTCGCTTCCCTCTTTCATTTTCCTTTCTACTGTTCAAAATAAACAAATTGGCCATTATTGTTAGAGCTCAATAGCTCAGCCATAAATCAATTTCTAATTCATAATCATATGCCCCTGAAAACTATAATTTCACAGATTCGTCAATCTTGAGAAGAAAATTCATAAAATATTTTCTCTATCTTTAAAAATTCCAAAATTAACTCTAAAACAAAGTAGACATGTATAGCTTTCCAATGAGCTATCATACGTCTAAATCTAACTTCTCTAAGTACCTCAAAAACAGTTTTCAAGAAATCAAAATTCTGTTTTTCCTGTTTTTGACAGCTTTTAGAAAGTTTCTATATGAAATTTCTTATGCGCACAACTCGAGCTACAAAACTCAAAATGAGGTGATTTCAACTCTCACACATCACTAATAACCTATTCTAAATGATAGCAAAGGTGGTTTAGGTGCAGAACTCCCATTTCAAAAAGTAGGAACCTCAGTTCTTTGTTTTATCAGTTTGTGGAAATGGCAGTTTTACGACTGCTACGAGAATATTCACAAAATATTTTATGTAGCCTCAAAAACTATAGAATCAGTGCCAATTCGAGGTAGACATCTAGGGCTTTCCAAGGAGCTATCATAAACTTTGTTGTAGGTCCATTAATGCCTACAAAAACACGTTGCACCAGATCATGAATTGCTGATTTTTCTGCAGAATTACAACAACTACGTCCAACTTCAAAATTTCATATCTTCGGCTACGGTTATCCGTTTAAGGTGATTCTTGCCTCTAATCGAAGCTTATAACGTCTTTTTTTTATGACCTTACAATCAGTTAGATCAAAACCTAAGCAAGGAGATACAGTTTCATTCTTTTCCTTAGGCAGCTCTTACATGTTTCAATAAACCGTCATTCTTCACGCTAACTAAAAAGAGAAATCCCTGCTAATGACTCCCACATGGCTGGTACAAACCTTAAGTCATCCAAATTAAACTCTTAAGGTTCATAAATAGGATGCAAAGGCTAGAGAAGCTTGTTAAATCAAAACATGTTGTTATAATCCAAACCTAACTATACACAAACCTCAAAAGGGAAAGTATTCTTTAGTCACTCACAACTCCATGTTGAATTACAATTACTTTACTAATTATGAAATTAGAACATTAATGTAACACCCCAGAGAATTTGTAACGCCCTTTAGAATTAAACATGTTTAATTATGCTAAACTGTGGATTATTAGTGTGTCTAATTTGATTTTCATAATTAATTAAGAGACTTTAAGTCATTTTCAATATTTATAATTACACCCCAAAGATTTTTGGAAAACACACTTAAATTTAATACATTTTTCTTTTTTTTCATTTTTCTTTTTCTTTTTCCTTTTCTTTTCTTTTTCTTTTTCTTTTTTTTTTCTTTTCTTTTCCCCCCATTTCCTTCCCGTGCGCCCAGCCCCCCCCCTCTCTCTTTCTTTCCTTTTCTTTTTTTTCTTCTTCTTCTTCTCTGGTTCTCCCACGCACAACCTCTCTCTCTCTCTCTCTTTCTCCATTTTCTTCCACCGCCGGCCACCTCTCTCTCCGGGCTTCCTCCCGCCGGCGTCCTCTCTCTCTCTTGCTCTCTCTTTCCGGGTTTCTCTCTCCCTCTCTCTCTCTCTCGGCAGTTTGGCC